CTGCTCCTGCCCTGTGGCCTTGTCTCCACAGGGGGCCGGGGGAGGGGGACTTCAGCCCTGCTGTGGTGTGTGAAGGGTTAATGGCTGCTGCTGGGCCCCATCTGCTGTGGTCATGCTCCCCGCACTGTGTCAGGCAGGAAGCATCCCCGCTGTGTCTGGACCGGGCGGCGGGTGGCCATGCCTGGGCCCAGCTGTCCGCCTGGCCCTCACACCTGCTTCGGTTTATTTTCCTGTTCCTATCAGGCAGGGCTCCGTTTTCAACTCTCAAAGTTTTGTAAAAAGGGGAAGAAAAAAAATCCCTTCAATCCCTGTTTTTTGCTCATCCTCATTCCTAGATCTAACGCTTACCCAGAGGAGAATCCAGCCCAGTGTGGTGACGGCTTGGGCCGAAGAGGTACTGTACTGGAGCCTGGCCTGTGTGGGACCCACTGGTGGGGGCAGGCACCCAGGATGGGCACGGGGAGGGGCACAGCTGCCCTCCCAGCCTTGGGGCCCCCTGCTGTGCTACGCCTGTGCCCACATTTCCTGGCTCCCTTCAGTCACACAGTTTTGGGGGGGAATGGGAGGGGAGGGGCTTGGACTGCTGGGGGTGAGGTGGGGTAGGGGGGATGGCGAGTCTCAGACAGCCCCGGACACTTCCACATGCACCTGGCCCCATGGCAGCGTCCATCCTCAGAGTGGCCCACTCCCATCCTGCTTCAGATGGTACCCCCACTCCACAGCCAGGTCTCTGGGTTGCCACTATGCCTGTGTGCCCACGACTGGACCTTGGACCCTTACAGGTAGCACGCCACTGGGGTTGCCCACCAGCAAACACTTGCCACTAGACCATTCCCACAATCCCAGGGGTCAGGCGTGGGCCTGAGGAAGTCTTTCTGGTGGAGGCGACACTGTGTGTAAAAGCTGAAGTGGGTTCTGGGGGGACAGAAGGAGAGCAGAGGCCAAGGGGCCTCTCCACGGAATCTGATGCCTTTCTAGCCTCAGGGCCCCTCTGGGTGGGTTGGAGCAGGTCCACGGAGCAGGGTGATGGAGGTCACAGAGTTGGCATACGCCCTCCTGGAGGGCCTGGCAGTTCCACTGACCACCTGTGAGAGTCCAGGGCAGAAGACCACAGGGCAGACTGGGAGGCTCCTTCTCTGTCCACTGTCCTTCCTCACTGGATGCCGCTCTATGCACCTGCAGGCCCAGGGCTCGTGCCAGGGCTGGGCATCTGCATGCCAGCTTCTCACTGTACAAGCTGGACCCTGTGGGCACCACTCTGGGCCTGGTTAGCTCCCTGGGGCGGATGCCTCGAGAACCCCAGCCTGACCGTGGACCCCATTAAACCAGGAGCTGGTGCTCAGGAGGGCGGCCCCTACTGCATGCATACCCTCCTCTCCAACCTGACCGTCGACCTCTGAGGAGGGCACCTTCAGTTGAGTGGGTGGTGTCCCGATGCAGGGTGCCCTGTGCATGGCCTGAGCTTTTGGGGAGGCCTCTGGCCATCCTGATGTCTAGGTTAGGGTGAGTGAGGAACCAAGATGCAGGTGCTGCCGTTTTAAGGGTGCATCTTGATCCCGTAGATACACCACTATAGACAGAGCCAGCATGAGACTATGGCCATCAGCAAGGTGGGCTTAGGAGGGTGCTGGGCTCGGGGCGGCCACCCCACTCAAGGATAAAATATTAACAGGCGCCATCTGTGTTGGTCTAATGACTGATTAAATGACTAATCACAAAAGTCTTAATTAAAGCCATCTTTCTCCTGCAAAGAGGGGGGCTCGGGCGGCTGTCGTGGTCAGCTCAGCCGGCCCAGGCCTATTCTGAGCAAGCCTGGTCGACCAGGAACACCTGCATGTCCCAGAGCTTGAGATCAGGTTTCTGGGGAAGGCGCCACCATCTCCAGGGCAGCCCCGTGTGTGCAGGGGAAGGTGCCCCCCACTTCCAGGGCAGCCCCTTGTGTCCTTGGGCACGTCCCCAGTGCCGTTACTAATCGAGCCCAGCATTTGCAGCTGACACTGCTTCACATGTTCAGGAACTGACAGGCTCTTTGTCATGGGGTGGAATTCCGTAATCCGCCAGGAATGTCTCCACAGGAATGCAGTCAGAGGCCTGGGAGGGGAGGGTCCCCCATGAGGGGGGCCGGCCCAAGGCCCACCCTGCAACCCATCCCGGGACTCTGGGGCCCCTACCTCGCACCTGACAAGCTGCTGCAGGACAGGGGCGGCACAGGAGATGCAAGAATCACTCTCTTGTCAACAGGCTTCCCACCCGCGGGAAGGGGTGGGGTGGGCATCACACAGGCCGACGAGGGCCCAGGAGCCCTGCCAGGCCGGAACTCTGCCACTCAATTCACTCCCTTCCTGAATGGGGGGCCTAGGGGGCAGAGGCCCGAGGGGAGGAGGCTGGAGAAAGCACCCCGCCTCTGCTTCTGCTGAACTGTTTTGTCCTGTCCTCAGGGGGCGTGGGGATCAGACCCTTGATTCTGGCTCTCTGCTCAATGGGCACACCCCTCAGCCACCTGCAGAGGGACCAGGCCCACGGGCTGTGTTGGACTGGGGCCCTGCAGGCTCAAGTGGAGGGGTGGGGAGGCTGCAGACCCAGGCTCTCTGCCTGCCCACTACAGACTCCCCTCCAGTACACTTGGGAAGTCCACCCTCACCCCAGCTCACAGGCTGCATCAGGATCCCCCAAATCTCTACCTCAGGGACACAAAGATACTGTTTCTTCTCCAAAGACAACATTCCAGAATTCTGCCTCAAAGTTTAGAACAAAAGGCAATGTTTCTCTGGAGCAGCCACCCTTTTCATGTAAATTAGAAAGCTGCTCGCTCTGAAATTACAGGGTGGCGTCACCCAGAGAGAGAGAGAGAGAGAGACAGAGAGAGAGAGACAGAGAGAGAGAGAGTGTGTGTGTGCACGTGTAAGTGCATGTATGTGTGTGCGTGCGGGGGTGGGGGGACGCTATTTCCACTGCTTCTATTGTTCAAACCTTCCAGATGGCGGGGGTGTGGCGCAGCATCAACTGGGGTGCAATGGGGGGCTCAGAGGTCAACATGGATGGGGGTGTCCATGGCTTGTCTGCTACCCAGAAGGTGGAGGCCGCTCTCCTTCCTGGGGCCCCTGTAGGCTCTAGCGGTGGGTCAGGCCAGCTCCTCAACTTGACTGTACAAACACAGGCCACTGGCCCAAGCGGACATGAGGTGGGAGGCCTGTTGTTCCTCCCTCACACTCAGCCACGGGTCCTCTGATCACAAGGAACATGGGGGTCCTGTGGAGGGTCCTATTGGGTGCCCTGGGGAGGGGGAGAGTGTGGCCAAGTGACTGGACACAGGGCAGCAGACACGGGGTCCTGGACTTAAAAGGATGTGTGCATGGGGGTTATCAGAGACCTCTAGGTGAGGGGTCCTGTAAGACAGAGGAAGGGCTGAGAGTCCACCTGGAGCCGGGGGTCCTCTCTTCCACACTTGGGGCTCTGTTGTCTACAGGAAGAAGCCTGCTGGGGACCTAGAGCCTTTGTCAGGTGCCAGCCCTCTCACTCCTCTGCCTTGGCCTGTTCAGGGGTGACTCTATGCATATTCCCGCCTTGGGGGATATGGGCCCCACCTACAGCCATCCGATCCTGATCCTGGCAAGGATCTCGTAAATGCAGAACAGACGTGTGGGCCCACAGCCCATGTGCTTTTGATCGGCCGAGCCAGGCTGTGTGGGGGAAGGGGTCATGTTCTCAGAATTCCTAAAGGTGAGCTTCTGGGGAGAGGCAGCTCTGGGAGTGGGGTCACCACCAAGAACAAGGGGAGGCCAGGAGGCTGCTGTGTGGCCCCAGGGCTGGGGTCCTCCATGCCCTCTCCTGGGGGTCATGCAAGCACCCTCAGGTTAGAGGCATTTGCAGGTGGGGAAGGCACTGCAGAGCTGGGAGAGCCTCACTTCAGGCCAATAGCTCAGTGACCCTTATAGTCCCCCAGACCCCAGGGGTAAGGCATCTGGGGGTTGGGGACACCTGGGGGATGGGAAAGGTAGCCTTGGGTGCCTGGATGGGGGATGCCCCAGAGTTGAGGGGTGGTGGGGGATGGTGGGGGACGCTGGGGGATGGGAAGTTTGTTGAGAGGGCCACCTAGGTTGTGGGGGGTGGGTGAAGGATGGGTGGGCAGAAACCTGGCGTGTATGCTGAGTGTGGGTTCAGTGTGGGAACACCTGGGGGTCAGGAGTGGGTAGAGAGTGGGTTCTGCTACCCACCTAGGGGAAGAGAAGCTGGTGGGGACTTCTGTGGGGGCTCAGATGGAGGTCACTGGAGCAGGGGCTGAGGTGGTCAGGGGATGCCCAAGGTGTGTGGCAGGGGGGACTGTGCAGGGGGAAGGGCATGGCCACTGGAGAGTCTGCTGCACCAGCCGCCACCTCGGGCCGGGGAAGCTGGACCCAGCCTCCCCTCCACAGCTGGTTCCCTCCCGGGGGAAGCAGAACGAGCCTCAGGAGATGAGACTAAAAATACCTCCCGGAGAGGCTATATTCGGAACACACACGCTCAGCTGGCTCCAGGCTCCGGGGGGGCGGGTGGGCTCGTCCACCCTGCGAACCAGGAGCTCAGTACTGGCCTGAGCCAGTGCCAGAGTGGGGGTTACCGGGACCAAGGCCACCGGGACAGTTGTGGGAGGGGCATTGCTGAGGAAGTCCCAATGCAGACTGACAAGCACGCACAGACAGATGGACAGACACTTGGGTCACAGGAGACCCTCACTGGGCATTATAGACTGCCACAGAGCTGACAGGAGGGAGGGGCACGGAGAACTCTCTGTTGGGACTCTCTATGTCTTACGGCCGTGGGCTCTGCAAGGGTCCCTGCACCCCAGGGTGCTGCCTGTACATGTTTCTGACTCTGAGCTGGAAACTCTGGTGGCCGTGGGAACTCATGCTTAGCAAAGTCTCAGCTGCTTTCCTTTAAGTGCCTGTTTTTCTCAGTTGTTGTGTGAGGCAGGCTTCGTGTGGGAGTCACTTGCTGTGACTCAGACCACGGGGCAGCCCCACCATGGGGCTGACAGCCGCCACCGGCGTCCCCACGAGCCACCCGATTGCAGACGGCACGGGCTGCGGCAGCCCGGGCCAGGTGCAGGCCCATTTCCGTCTCCACCAAATGTCTTCTTTCCTGGGAGCCTCCTCGCTGGCTCTGCGCCTGCAGCCTGGGCGCCTTTGGCAGCAAGCTGAATGGCAGCCAAGTTGGTGGCCCAGAGCGGGCATTTCCTCCAGCCCCGCTGGGAGCTGGGCTGGGGCCCCGTGCACATGGAGGGCAGCGTTTGGAACAACCACAGCTCTGCTGCTGCCACTCCAGGGGGGCCTCGCTGGCCCACCCACCCACTCACGGCCCAGGCCCATTCTGTCTCCAGAAGGTTCCAGTCCTTCCAGGCGGTGGTAATTCCTGCTAGTACCCCCGCCTCTTAGTGAGACTCCATCTCACGTGTGTGGGCATGTTATAGGAGGGGCTGGTTCCTGAAAATCCTCATGCTCGGCAAAGTTAAAAAAAAGGACTGTGAAAAAGAGACCCTCAAGGAGGTGGACTGGCCCGGGGAGCTCCAGCAATGGATTCGGGCAGAGCAGTGCTGGGGAGGGTGGCACAGGACCGGGCAGGCTGGTATTCTGCTGCACGTGGGGTCGCTATGAGTTGGAAGTGATTTGATGGCATGTGAAAGTGATCACCCCATGGAGTGTGTGGGGTCTGAGTCTCGGCCAGCATGCTTCTGCTTCTAGCCCCAGCTCTTAAGTCCCCCACCCCCACCCCGTCCCACAGCCTTATGTCCCCTTGGCATGGGAGTCCACAGAGCTCCATGTTGACTGGTCCTCGTCCTTCAGGGCATAGTGGGCACAGGGACTTGCCCACCCAGGCCTCTCAGGGGCCAGGGAGCCAGCTGCTTCCTCAAGCGGAGGCTGCTGAGAATGGGGCGCAGCTTTCTTCCTGTATGTGGGGTCACAGGGTGATCGCTTGCCTGTGGGGAGGAGCTTCACTCTGTGATGTGAGCCTTCTCCAACTCTTCTGACTCCCATTACGGAGCACTGGTGGCTTAGTGGTAAGGAGTTGTGCTGCCAACCCAAAGGCACGGACTTCGAATCCCCCAGCTGCTCTCCAGGAGAAAGAAGGGCAGCCTCCTCCCATGCGATTAACAGCCTCTGAAAACCCACTGGACGTTCAGCTATGGGTCAGTTACGACGTGATGGTACCCAGCAACAACAGTCCTTCGTATACTAACTCCTCAGACAAAACCCAAGCCCAGTTTGGGCAATCCATGGCTGAATTCGGAGCTCGTGGGCCTTAACTTCTTTGTCTATAAAATGGGCTAGTGATGGCACCTCTTGTGGACTTAAGTGGGATGTATGTGGCCAGAGTACTGTCTGCTCTTGAACCTGATCACCCAGCCACAGATGTGGATATCCTTCCAGATGCCACATTGTGACAGGGATGGCCAGCACCACCATAGGTGTCCCACAGGCCATGGGCCTCCTGATGAGTGAGGCCAGCAGCTGATGCCAAGGCCATTGTAACCATCAATATAGGTCTCCTGTGGAGCCCAGTGATGGAGGTGAGGGGTACAAAAGTACCCCGCGTCTCTCCTATCTGTTTCTGACAACATAAAGATCTAGACAACACAGGGTTACCCACACCCCTGAGGCCCTACACCTTAGTTACAGGCAAGCAGGCTGGATTTGCAAACAGCCCCCCAAGTGTCCTCCACCAGGCTCTTCCTGCTCCTGGGAAGGGGAATCCCTTGGGCTTTGGGGTGGAACCTAACATGGGGAGTATAGTGGAGTGTGTGTGTGTGTGTGTGTGTGTGTGAAACAGAGGTTCTCACCCTATGACATGTCCAGAGTGAATGAAATCCATGGTGACCCACATGTTCCACACACGCCCCCTTACCTCCTGCCAGCCCTTCCCCAACAGGACAGCACATGGCCAGCACACCAGATACCCTGTGCCAGCCATACCCAGCTGGGCACTTCTTGGCTATGCACCCAGAATTCAGCCCCTCCTTTCAGAGTGGGCAGTGGGGAGGGCATAGCAGGGCTGAGGGGTGACATGGGTGCCTTGAGCTTGGCTGCCCTCCGCCATGCCCAGGCCTGCATCCTGGCCCGAGAATGTGGTGTTAGACACACCTCTGAGGCCATTTCAAGGCTTTTACGAGAGGGCAGGGCAGGAGCACCCCCCTCTCATTTCTTACTCCCACTTGGGCTTCCTGGTGCAGGAAGCGAGAAACAGGCACTCAAAGAAAACCAGCTGAGACTTTGCAAAGCACGAGTTCCCACGGCCACCAGAGTTTCCAGATCGGGATGTGGGTGAGATATTCAGAGCCAGAAACACGTGCAGGTAGCATTCTGGGGCTTGGGGCTCATGGCAAGGCCCTTAGGGGTGACGTGCTAACAGCTGCCCAGCAGAGAGGCCTCCATGCCCCTTCCTCCTGCTGGCCCTGGGCAGGCTGCTCATTTTGAGCCCTTGTCTTGGGAATTGTTTTGGGAGGGGCCCAGCCTCTGAGGTGTCCTGCATGGGAAGGTGCAGCTTGCTACAAGTGGCCACCCGTGGGTCTGCAGGTCTCTCCCACTTCTGCATGGCGGAGGGAGGGTTGGCCCTGAGGGCACCTCCTCCCCACTGTGTGAGACCCCAGACATCTCTGCAGTGGCAGGCCCAGTAGTCTCTGGCCTATCCCATTGAGGCATCTTCCCAAGGGCCCAGGGCCAACTCCGGCCTGAGCAATACCCTCTGCCATCTCTCCCGCTTCACCAATTATCACCCCAGGCCCTCAATGGACTCAGAGTCAAGAAGCAGGCTGTGACACCACTGTGCCCACCTTGGCCCACCTTTTCCCACCTCAATGTGCCCATCTCAGCCCACCAAGCTGGGACCAAGCGGAGTGGCAGGAGATCTATCAGGTGCCATCCCAAACTCGCCAATTCTACTCTTTTGTCAGGTACCTGGAATCAGGACCAAAGGCCCATAATGGCCAAGATGACCTCCTCAGTGAGGGACCCCACCTGCTGTGGACATGTGCACTTGGGAGGCCACAGGGAAGTGTCCCCTGCTGTCAGTCCCCCTCGTGTTTACCATTGGCCTGGGGGAAGACCAGGCCAATGAGAAGTCAGAGTCAAGCCCAGCGACACACTCCCTACTTACAGCTTCCTGCAGAGACACGCCCCCTACCTGCAGCCTCCTGCAGTGACACGCCCTCTACCTGTACCCTCCTGTAGTGACACACCCTCTACCTGCAGCCTTCTGCAGTGACAAGCCTCCTACCTGCTGCCTCCTGGGAGCTTCTGAGCTGGGCCTGGTGTCTTCCCTGGGCTGAGGCTGTCTCTTGGTCTGGGACCCAGCATCTGCAGGGAGAGTGGCTCAGGAAGGCGGCTCCCACAGGGAGCCCCATCCCCAGCACACAAGAGGTTTGGCCTCAGATAGAGGAATATGTGCCTGGGGGCTCAGCAGTGACTCTGCTCTCTGAATCCCCAGGGCTGAGAAGATGAGGGGTCATATCTCAAGAACCCCACAGGGCTGACATCTCCAGAGTACTGAAGAGCAACAACGTCAGTCTGGAGACTAAGCGAGCCTGATCCAGGCCATAGTCTTCACAATTACATGACAGGCATCAGAAAGCTGAACAATGGCTAGGGGTGATAGAAGGAGAATTGATGCCTTTGAGTTCTGATAATGGAGAAGAGTATTGAATATACCATGGACTGCTAGGAGAGCAAACAGGCTTGTCCTAAAGAGGGTGAAACCAGGCTGCTCCTTGGAGGCAAGGATTCTGAAGTTCCATCTGACATACTTCGGGTATGGGCCATGCAAGGAGGGACCAGTCCTTGGAGAGAGACTTCATGCTTGAGAGGGTGGAGGGACAGTGCAAGAGAAGAAGAGCCTGGATGAGATGGATTGATTCAGTGACTGGGGTAATGGAGGTAGGTGTGTAGAGACAATAAGGTTGGCTCAGGATAGAGCAGGGTTCAGAGCAGTTGTACATAGGGTCACTATGAATCACAGGCAACTTGATGGCATATAACAACAACAAACAGGACTGAGTAGATGAGGTGCCCCCCACCCTGCGAACCCCCTAAGGCTAACTGGATTAAGAAGGTGGGGGGTGTCCCACCTGGTGAACTCCCTGGGGCTGAGCGGATGAGAGATCCCACTTCATGAACCCCTCAGGGCTAGATGTATGAGAGGTCCTCCACCTCTCACCCTCACCTTAGGAGGAGGGCTGACTTACCTGGTTGCTGTCCAGAAACGGGACTGGGTGGTACCAGGGTGGAGGGGGGCCGAGCAGGATGTTGGAGAACACAGCACAGCCTTGCTCTGCCTTTTGGCAGAATTGGGAGCCCAGAGGCTCCTGTCCCTCACCTGAGGAAGAGAGGTATCAGGGACAGTAAGGAATGTACATTTTGGGAGGCATAAAGCTTGTCTATGAGGTTGCCAGCCCTATACGCATCTCTGAGGCCAAGGTCAGTGCCTAGAGCATGGCTGGTGCTCAGAGGTTGATATTTGCATCACCAGGTTTGTGCCAGGTCACCCTAGGACCCCTTCACCCACATAGGACCCACTTTCCTGTTGAGGCCTTGGGCCCTCCCGATACCTCTCTGGTCCATCATCCAGGCTTACAGCTCTCACCCCTTCAGCATCATCGCATCCTCCAGTGGGGCTGCAGTCCTGCCCTGCACAGAGCCAGGGTCATGTCTCCTGCTTTGGTGGGAGGGGAAGCCTTCAAAGTGTGCCCCAAGGCCCAGTGCTGGGAAGCAGGGCTAAGTGAGGCCAGGAGAGGGTGTGCTGGGCCTTGGGTCAGCTCAGATGCAGCAATGGGTCAGCTTTGCCTGGGGCGGGGGGTGGACGGGGACCATGGGGAGGACAGGAGTAAGTACATCTGGCAGTGGGAGCAGCTGGACAAAGGTGTCCTGAAGGATGAGGTCTGGGCTGGAGTGGAGCCTAGAGGTCATAGAAGGGGACACCAAAACAAGGATCCTAGCTCCTGGACACACAGAGGATGGGTCAGGGTGGGATCTGGGGTGGTGCCCAGGGGAACAAAGGAAGGGGGGCCCTGGTTTGGGTGATAGGGGAGATGCGTGTGTCAGGTGGGCAGTGCAAAGGAGTGGGGGACATCTCAGGAAGATTGTGCTAATAGGGCCTGTGGGAGGGCCTCTTTAGTGGAATGTTAACGAAGTGAAGGCTTAAAGGAGAGAAGTCTGTCCTCTGAGCAAGTGTGGGACCCTGGGGCCTGAGGCAGGCACGTCCCTCTTTAGATCCCGGCTTCTCCAGGGCATGACAGGGACACTGGGGAGAATGGGCCGCAGAAGTGTTTCCAAATTACAGGCCGGAGAATGATCTCCCTCGGAGGGGTCTTAACTTCATCGTTAAGTTGCATTATACCAGGTAGACTCTGTCCCCCTGCAAGGACATTCTTGAGCTAATGTCCCCTCTCCATTAGCTTCTGCCGTCCTGGCACTATTTGCGTCCTGGGCAATGACTGGGAACCATATTGCTGACGGCATAATTTCCATTTCTCAATGCACTGGCGGTTTCCACGCGGGTTCGGCAGAAGCTGACTCTGACTACCTCTTTTATCGACACCTCTGGACAATAGAGACGCCTGCTCTGTATCCTAATGACTTGGAAGACACCAGCGCCCTCTGCCAAGGTGACCGCCCAGAGTGGGCCCAAGACCACGGAGTGCCAAGGATGCCGGGCACATCCAACAGCAGTTGTTTCAAATTTTGACCCATGGGGTGTAGGGGAGAATGGCCTGAGAAATAGATGTAAATCCCAGCAAGCATTTCTAGTGGGCAAATAAGTGTATGCTCAAGCTAGGCCTGGGCTGCGACCTCCTCCCTCAGACGAGGTCAAAGAACCAGTGCTGGGCTGTCCTGCCCTCGGAAGTCCTGACTGAGCGGTGTGAGAGGTTCCTTCTCTGGGGAATCACAATCGTTAAATCTGTGTGGCACTGATCAGGTGACAAGCACTTGCAGGCAGGGCCTTGTGGCCACCTCAGAGTAGAGACACTGTCATTATTGCCACTCAACTAGCTAGAAGTTCAAGCTTCAGAGGGGCTATGATAACCTTAATCATCATGACCATATGCCTCAGCCGGGGAGTCACAGCACAGCTAATGTCAAACGTACACAATAACTGAGGAAGGGACACGGGATAACACCACATGTTTTCGTTTCCTTGTATTGATATTACACAAATATATATATATATATAATTTTTTTAAATTTTATGTGCGTGCACCATCAAATAGGATCTGACTGGCACAGGAGAAGATTGTCCCTCCTTCTCCAGCGGAGCATCTGTTGGATTCGAAACATATACCTACACAAATACCTTACTGTCCGGTGCCATCGAGTTGACCATGGCTCACGGTGACCCTGCCCTGTCCTGTGCCGGCCTCCCCATTCCGGGTACTCCAGCCCATTGCTGCAGTTGCTGTGTTAACCCTGCTCACTGAGGGTCTCCCCCTCCTTCGCTGACCCTCCACTTTTCCAAGAATGCCATCTTTTTCCAAGAACGGGCCCTTCCTAACAACACGCCCACAGTATGTGACAGGAGCTTTCACCAATCTTGCCTCTAAGGAACACTAAGGAGGGGGCTATGAAGGATAGAAATACCCATTTTTTTTTAAAAAAATAGTTTTAGCAGACACCTGTTTAAGTCAGAATCTGGACAATATTGATTTTTTTGCTTGTCGGTAGACCCAAGAGTTCCTTCGTTCCCAGGCTGGTGGAAGATCTTCCCTTGATTTCTGTCTCCGTGTGTGTGTGTGTGTGTACATGCACTTGTCTTGCATACGCTACAGATTTCACCTCCATACCTGCCTGTTCCCCTTCCCTGTGATATGCACGCCACGTGCACAGCTGTAAGTATCGGGATCAGCCCCACTCTGGGATCATTACTGCTTGATTTCTGCAGCAGTGGCGTGACTGACGTCACTTCCTTTCATATCTGATCCACCCAATGGTGTCCCTCTGCCCTCCCCGCCATCATGCAGCCCTTAGCCTGGCACCAGGGCCGCCTCTCACCCGTCTATCTGGGCCTTACACACAGAAGCAGCCACTTAAATGGAAACCAGGTTGGGTCCCTCTGCTTTATGCTCTAATCATTACTCCCAGCGTACAGTGCAGTCCAGCCCCTCCATCGGCCACTCTGACCACCCACTGCACTCACAGGGCCACCTCTGTCTGTCTGTGGGGATTTTTATCTACTTGTCCCATCTCCTGGCACCCCAGCTTCCGGTAGGCACCTAGAGGTGTTACTAGGGGTGCTACCAGGGTCGGATGAGCTGTTCCACCGAGCACACCTCCTGGACAGCTCGGCCTGTTTGCATTGTGGACCAGATTGAACCAAACCACAGAAGATGAAAGGCCAGACGCTTGGCAGCACATGCCAGCCAGCGGCACCAAGGAGTCCCTGTTGTGTTGCTGTTGTTGTTATGTCCCGTCAAGTCAGAATCAACTCATAGCTGCCCCTCCAGAGGGTTTTCAGGGGCAGTAAACTGCACAGGGAATAGCCCATCTTTCTCCCATAGAGCTGCTGGTCTATTCGAACCAAGCGCCTTGGGTTTGGCAGCCTAACTCCTTACCATGAGGAGTCTCTGGGTGCTACAAATAGTTCACATGCTCTACTGCTAAGAGAGGGTGGAGTCTGCCCAGAGGCACCTCGGAAGAAAGGCCTGGCCATCTGCTTCTCAATGGTCAGCCACTGACGACCTGCAGAGCCCGTCTCTCCCCTGACACACCCGGGGCTTCCAAGACTTGGGGTACACCAACGGCAACTGGTTTGCTTTTCTTTCTAAAGAGTTAAAATCTGACTTCCGTTCAAAGAGAGCACAGTTTTCAGAAGAAACACCTTGTTCCCCATCTGGGGCCTGAGGGAAAGGCCAGCCGGAATCTGGGGTTGGAGTTCTCACATTAACCTGGGCTTAGTTTAAAATGTCCGAGAAAATGGACAACAATCAATTTTTTTAATTTTTATTATTTTTTGTGCGTGTACCATCAAATCAGATCTGATTGGTACAGGAACAATCAAATTTTTTTTTTTTTTTAAAAACCAACCTTCCAGACAATTGGATGAACATTGTTTACACTTACGTATCGTTCAGTCAGAACTAACTCATAGCTGAAGCTCCAGTGGGTTTTCAGAGGCAGTAAATTGCATGAGAGGAGACTACCCATTTACTCCCATGGAACAGCGGGTGGATTCAAACCGTGTACCTTTGGGTTGGTAGCGCAGCTCTTTACCAATACGCCATTAGAACTCCTCGGATGGACATTATTGTTGTTGTTGTTATGTCCTGTTGAGTCATTTGTGACTCATAGCAACCCTATGTACAAACTGCTCTGAACTCCACTCTATCCTGAGCCAACCTTATTGTCTCTGACACACCTACGCCCATTACCCCAGGCACTGAGTCAATCCATCTCATCCAGGGTCTTCGTCTCTTGCGCTGTCCCTCTACCCTCCCAAGCATGACGTCCTTCTCTAACGACTGGGCCCTCCTTGCAACATGCCCAAAGTATGTCAGACAGAGCTTCAGAATCCTTGCCTCCAAGGAGCAGCCTGGTTTCACCCTCTTTAGGATGAACCTGTTTGCTCTCCTAGCAGTCCGTGGTATAGTCAATGCTCTTCTTCAGCACCACAGCTCAAAGGCATCAGTTCTCATTCTATCATCCCTAGTCATTGTCCCGATTTCTAATGTATACATAGCAAGTGATTGAGAAGACTATGGCCTGTATTAGGCACACCTTACTGTCCAGACTGACATTGTTGCTCCAGAGGAGAGGTCCCTGACAGCAGACTTTCCCAATGAAAGTTATCTTTTGATTTCCTAGCTGCTGGTACCAAGAGTGTGGATGAACATAGAGATTGTTAAAAAAATTAGTTCTACAGAAGAGAGAGAACTGTCTTTCTGAGGAGCTTGAAGGGGCCCAGACCAATGCTTCTGAGTAAAGGTCGCTCATTGGCTTGCAGGCACCTTGAGCTTCTCCCAACGGGTTTCTGGGATCCTCCCGGTGCCCACCTGTCCCCTTTTCTCAGACCAGGCTGTGCTCGGCACCATGGCCTTGCATGAGGCAGGCTCCTGCTATCAGACACCAGCTCCTGCTCGGAGAGTCACTCCTGCAGCCTTGTGTCGATTTTAATTACGACCATTATGGCTTTATCAGCAAGATAAAGGTCGCTGTGCTACCCAGAGGGAGGAGGGCTTGGAGGACAGGAGCCAGCCTGGAAGGGGGGCAGCTTGACCTCTGTGGGAGGGAAATGCCAATTAATTATCTTTTTACAGCCAACCCAATTAGAAGCACTAATCACCTGTGTAGGGCGTCCCGGCAGAAGGTGGCCAAGTTGCCAGAACG